TTTTTTTTTTTTTTTTTTTTAGAAAGGGGCTCAATTTGCGCCGTTTTGAAAAATCTAGAATCATATGTGTGCATAAAGAAGTACTGAAACTGAGTGAGTAAACAGATATATTGAGGCAAGCGCAAAATCTGTTAATAAGCTTCATTATTTTTTAATAAAATTCATCAAACCCAGCTGAATATTTATTTTTTAGTTCACTGACCATTCTGAGAATTTCATTAGATGTTTTGGAAAACATCATTATTGAAAATTTTTGGGGAATCATATGATGTTGAATTTGTGAATTCAGTCCTTTTGTGAGATAATGAAAATAAAATTGAAAAATAAAATTAACTGAAATAGAATAGATAAATAAATGATCTTCTAACGTTATTTGTAATATTCATAGTACTTGCTACAATTTCCCAAAGATTTTAGTCATTATTTATTATTTAATATCACAAGTCTTTCAATTAAACAAAATTCAACCAATGAGAAAACATATACAGTACCTAAATAATAATGGGCAATATATACTTACTGAAACAAGGAAGGGAAACAATAGGCAAGGAAAGGAACAGGATTAAAAGGTTGCTATTAGATAATATCCATGTGTTTCCTCAAAGGTTCATTTAATTGAGAAACATACAAATAACAACTGAACAAGTTGTGCCACTGCCAGAAAGCCGTGTCCCATGCATATTTGGTATTTTGGGCAGTAATCAACTTAACTTACACAAAAAATTGCAACCGAGGTTACATGACATCCTTGCTGCACAAATGCCTTTAGTACCACTCATGTTGAAGGAAAATACTTTCCTTGCTATTTACCGCTAGCAAATAAGTTACAAATAACCTTCCATTTTCCACTTGAGTTTTTCATTCAAACATCAACATTTTCTCCTTTTTACAAGAAAAGGTTTAGCCTCTGAGAAACAAAACTTAAGTGGAAGTAATTTGAGACAAAATAATTGTGTCGCACACTCTTTAATATTGTCTGGACTAGTGACTAGAGGCTCCTCTGTTCTCTTTGAACTAAAACTGCAGATAAGCATCCTAAGTAGCATCCCATTCATGAAATGGCACACAGGCTTTTGCTAAGAGAAGTTGGTGGCTCATTTTATTACTGCCAGATAACATGAGATGTTGTACCAGGCATATGCAGTCCTCTGCATAAATTCAGTCTCCAACTTCTATTGCTAAGATCAGAATACTCTACAGCAAATTACATTTCTTAACAAAACTGTACAACTATAACAGAGTACACAAAAGTGATCCAAGTCCAAATGCAGTTCAGACAACACAGTACAAAAGCAGGAAATCTCAGATGTTGAAATGTATACCTGTATTTCCAATTACTCACGTGCTGTGTTTACTGGATTACAAGGCACAGCTTTCTCAAAATTTTCTTCCAAGAAATTGATATCTAATTTAAAGTCTACTACAAGTACAAATAGTTAAAAATATTTTGAGTAAGAAAATGCATATAAATACAGTGAAATCCCCGAGTCATTTTTGTCTCATCGGCATAAAATTAAAGAAATAGCTAAATACAAGAGTAATAAGTAATGCCCAATCATCTGTTGTACAAAACATTAGGATACAATTTTTACATATATCACAAGAAGAGTTACATTAACAAAACTATACTTGTATACACTTGCTTGTTACAGCTTGCATTATATAAGGATTATGGCAGTGTAAGGAAGAGTAAATTTACTCTGAACACAAAAACACAGGTGCAAGTCAACCTAGTCACCTCACTTAAACCTACATTAAGCGATATTACATTTTCCAATTTACTCTCAGTATTTAAAATGCTAAACATTAAGAAAAGAATAATAAGTCAGCAAGAAATACATACAATGACAATACGATCAGGATTTCACTGTACGTCCAAAAGACATTGCACATGGAAACCAATCAACAGTAGCTCTAGTAAGTATATATCCACAACACATCATAAATGCAAAACCACTTCTTTTTTAGTCCATGCCATTTTTCACATTAAAATTTGTAAAATACCTCTTATGGCACATTACATTTTATACAAAGTCTCCTTGCCTAAAAGCAGAAAAACTGATTACACAACAAAAAAACCTACGAAGTTTGTGTGTGATAAAAAAAAAAGTATTAGCAGCACTCATAAAGTTTAACAATACAAAGACAACAACAAAATATTCCTATTCTGAATTTCAAAATGAAAACTGACAGGAATTGTTTCTTTTTATTATTCTTCAAAACGCACTCAAGAACGTAGAATAACGTCATGCAAAATAGCACAAAAGGAGGAATATTAAATTCAATTGAGTGGTAGACAAAAAGGAGATAAAGTAATATGAACTGGAAGATGAAGATATATCATATTCTGTGTATATCAAAATAAGATATTTCACAAACTGGTCATTTCAATGCAAAAAGTTAAAAAAAAGTGTGTTGGCCGATGATCACAAATCAAATAAATTTTTTTTTTAATGATATTAGAATTTGAATACATTTATAAACAGAATTATTAAAACAATGCCACTACTTTATGAATTTGTGAAGATCAATATCTCCAATAGGAAAATACACAATTCTAAGTAATTAGTTGCTGGTATTAATGGTTAAAGTGGATGTTTTGCATAAAAGAACAGCATTATTATAATTACTATTACTTATATTACCACAATCTCCTTGTGGTGTCGTATGGATGCTGACAAGTGCACTTAAATTTTCACAAAATTGGGTAAAAAATTCTAATGCTAAAACACAAACATCATTGTATTGCTTGAGATGCAAGTTGTTGACAACAGACAAAAAATTTTCTCATTTCAACTTCTGAACTACAGCACTACTAATATAAAAATATCTAACATGAAAAATAACAATGCCAAGAAGGTAACCACATTTGACATATTCATAGAGGGGACAAAAAGCACCCATCCCCCCAGGTGACTCAAACTTTTCATGCTATTTATTATAATAACAATTTAGAGAAACGGTAAACAAAGTACTTATCAGCAGAAGTACACCTGGTATACAAGAGATCAAGTGGCCAAGAAATACATTCTACAATCTTACTCAACAAATTTTTGGGGATATTGTACTTCAATTTGTGTAAAAGCACCTAAGTACCAACTAGTAGTACCAACAATTCAAGAATCTCAGTCTGGAGGAAATAAAATAAAATAAAATAAGAAGTGTTTGATAACACTCCCCTAGTTGTTTGTTCCATGTTTGAAGATAGTGTATCTATAGAAAAATTGATAATTATTTTTTCCTCCAATATCAGTTCATATAATCAAAAGATGGACTGTTCAACCCAAGCCAACTTATTTCAAAATACTTGAGACAAAATAGCACACACATGATGTTCCAATAAAAGAAATAATAAAATCCAGATTCAATTAATAAATATCAGAGAAGACAACTTACATAATATATTCTGGAAGATATTAATTCACACCCATATATGTGATATAAAGTGATGCAATTCTTAAAAAAAAAAAAAAAAAATAATAATAATAATAACAATAATAAGTGGAATACAAGACAAACCTTACTACAACAGAGAACGAGATCCTATGACATGACATGATATGACAGACTCAAGAGTTGTTTTTTGCCTTAACCAAAGTGATTACTGATTCAATATCAATAAAGTATTCTGCAACCAGAAGTAAAACCTCATGAACTTAAATAGATAACTAAGAAGCTAAATTTAATACTCAGTACAAAACAAATCAAAGAATGTTAACTTAAATTCAAGTTTTTACAAATGAAGTTTAAGGGCAATTATGTGTACTTTTAAAAAGGAGTTTTATAAATAATTTAAGATGAAATTAAAAATTGGTTTAACCGAACCAACAATATGTATTTTCCTTATTACACATTAAAGTCCAATTCTGTATTCCATACCATGGTGCACCATCAGTATCTTTCATAACAGAAACTAGACACAACAGTTAAATAAAATAGAAATAATTGCGATGAAGTAAAACAATATTTATACTTTTTTCCATTCCCGCATTCATATTAATTATAATATCTTCACTGTGATATGAGTGAACTTTCCACAATCTGAAAAATATTCTGTTAAGTGTAAGTTATCAATGATATTTTCATTTTTTTAAAGTGTAAACTAAATAGAAACATTTCAAAGATAAGAACCAATACACACAAGTTGATGAGGTTATATGGATCAGAATGAACCAGGATAAATACCTAACTGTTAAATAGTTTGAACAATCCTATATCCTCACAAGCATAAATCAAAATATTGATTCAACTGAGGTCAGTGAAAATTGAAGGTGTAGACACCACAAGAAGGCCCAATATTTCCTAATAAGCAAAAAACACTATTGCAAAAACATTTTTTTAGAAAAATTAATGGAACACCAATTTAATGTTGATTCATTCACTGATGTTATTTCAAGAGTCAGAGGCATGCAGAAGGGATGTCAAGTATACCTAAAGATAAATCAATCAAGCTGCCCCAATAAGTACTGCATTTTCTTATCATGCTCTCCAAACTCTTACTGTAGTATACCATCTTTTCATGGCATGCATTACAATGAGGATAATGATTTTCTCAATACAAGTAGCGTAATAACACATACAACCTACATACACTATACTTCTGCACTGACAAAAGTTGATGCTTGTCCCTTGAAAATATCTAATAACACAATGAATTTTGGTCTTATTCTTTCAAAGTTTTGCCACAGGACAGTATATTATTTCCTAATACTTATGTTATTAACTTTACAAATAAAAACATAAAAATCTACTAATACAAATACTACAAAAAATATGACACAAAAAATTTGAAATTTAATTTAATATAATTAACTAAATTAACAAAATATATACTTAAATATAGGCCAATATAAAATTTGCATATTGAAAGAAAATAGGCTATGACTGCATATTTACATTCTTGTATTGGAGAAGTACAAACAGTAAGACAGATAATATTACATTATAAAATTAAAATTATTCTTTTCCCTTCATCAATATTTCACATTTTTGTGACTACTGTTGCTTTAACTCAACTGCATACAATGTAATTAGAAAAGTTCAGCAAAGTAAGTCTTCACTAGTTATAGGGCACACCCATTTGTAAATCAATCCAATGTCAGTTTAAATAACTAAGTGATATATAAAAAGAAATAGTAGTTGAGTGTCGTTACAGTGGGGGTAGCAGAATTTGGGGCCATGAATTTGTAAAATATTAAGTAAATTAATTAGAACTAGCAAGTTTTTAATATTTCAAGAATAAAAAAAGCTTGTAATTAGTCTAAAATAGTATTGAACTGTTTTTTTTTGTATAATTTCAATATTGAATTTTCAAGAATTTTTATATGTTGAAAGAGGATATAATGCTAAAATTTAATTACCTAATTTAACATGCCAACACAGTATTAACTTCACTTAATAAACTGAGTTCACCATATCTTCAATTAAGAATGATTAATTAAAATGACATCCGTTATATTAAAAATAATGTTCATTAAATTTTAAACAATGCCCAGATATCTTGTATTTGAAAACTGCAAAACCCAATTTTTGCAGATTGGCCTCATGAAATTAAGGATGGGTCTGAAAATAGTATTAAACATTATTATCCCAGATGATTAGCCACGTAATTCTACATCTTCATTTAAAAGATCCAAAATTTATGTTGGATAGACCAGCAGGCCACATACTGGCATGATCTTACAATACATTTACATCAAAAATACGTGGAAAGATGTCACCCTATTATTTACTCATAAATAAGATTTCCATAGTTAGCAATATCAATTTAGAAGTAATTTAAATAACTTTTAAAAATGAATAAAAAAAGTTAATTTTACAGTTGATATGTGATATTACCAAGTAAAACTATTAACCAATTTTTTTTACTAATACCCATGACCATTTACCAGACAACTGCTTAGCTTCAACAACATTAGTTGGCCTACAGCTGATTACTAAGCTTTGGTTTCTCAACCTAGAATTCACCAATTAACTGAGCTATGAAATTGAATATTGTTGTTTCTTTAACCCTTCAATGCAGAAAGCCATCCTAGGAATACCACATATATTTCACCTCTATTTGTAGGAATCTGTAATTTGATATCAACGGATGTTCCTTTTATATGGCAGAATGCATGTGGAGACAGACAGTCATTGTAGCAACTCAATGAGCTTCCTACTACCACCACTGAGACACATACAACCCATTTCCTGTCACCTGCATTAGAATGCTACCTCTCTCAGCCTAGGCCCTGCGTTGATCATCACATCAACTTTATCTAGAAGGGAGGTATGGAAGATTTTTTAAAACCTTATTACATTATACTCATAAAACCTATTACCCAACACTGACATTTGAACAATCTACATCTCATGGCTCCAAAGCTAATTTTATTAACACTGAATTTGTTAACTGAATAATAAATTATTTTTAGTACCAGCTGAAGAAGTACATCTGATACCATCCGCGATCTATTGTCACAACCTTTGTGAGGGCTAATTATGTTATTTTTATAACACAATTTTTGATTTCTTTTAATAATTTAAATATAATGATGGTAACATAACTCTTCTAATGTTGAGACTATAGAATAAAACACTTCCTACAAATCAATGTTTTTATAAGACTGTTTTCAACTAACTTTTCAAATTTCATATATACAGAAACTTAAAAATTAATGTTTTGCTATTTGTATGTAATTTAAAGAAAAATGAGGCAAAACTCTCTGTATGCTCCACCAACAAATACTAATGGAATTTGGATTGTGAAACCAAAATTTGTTTTTATGCAAACTACAGGACACCAACAGTACAGAAGTATCATGTATTTGACACAACTAAACTCTTCTTTGGCAAGTGTTCAATGTACAAATGAATGTCTTTGAACATGTTTTCAATTACAAGTAAATTTGGAAAACCTCAATCAGATATTTCTATTCACACATTTGTACAATAAATCATATAAAAGTGCCTCCTGTAAGAAGCAATATACACGGAAGCACCATGCCTTACAACTCAGTAAACACAATTAGTCATTAACAAAAATTTATCTCCGTGCTCACACCACAACTGTTATTTACGCAAATAAAATTAATTCCTGTCACCAGTGTATTATATCTTCTAATAAGAAGCATGCGTCACTTTGCAAAAAGCTTGATACACTTCTTTAAAAAAAGTCAATCTAAATAATGAATACTCACACCCACACCTGTTCCACTTTTTGTACTTGTCTATAAGAATATAGTTACCATTCTGTGACATAGAAATAAAAGTCACGCTTGAACATTTTCTCCAAAAGTAACTTTTGATTGTCATTATTAGAGCATTGAACATAAAAGCTTTTCGGTTTCAGTGACTAGATTTACATCAGCCAAAATTCCTCACTGATTACAGGCTTCAGAAGAACAAAATACGGCAAAGTTCAAAAATTTCATGATGTTTTGCTGTACATACAATGCAGAAAATCAAAACTGAATAATGTACCCAACACTCCTTGGTTCACTTCACTACTTCACAACAACTTACACAGTGTGACATTGAAGTAGACTGTTTTAATGCTTTGTCAAGCATTAGTTCTTCCATGTTGCTCAGAGTTCATCTTAGAAACACAATTCAATATTCTCAACAAATCTTGTGCCTCTCAGCATCAATTCAAAACTGTGATGTCTCATTACTTCCGAACGAAGATGATGGAACCAAACATCATTATGCAGAAAATAAAATGCAATTTTATGCCACAGATATTCCCATTCTTGAACCACACCCACACTTTACACTCACCACAATTATAAGAATGACATTCCCACATCAGCACACACTTCAAATTATAAACTTCCTTGTAAGAAATCCTGAATTCATTTTAGGTATATCACAATATTTCTTATAGGTAGAACTAGAAACACACTAACACATTTTACTGGTCTCTGGTAAGGTATTGGGTAAAACCCACTTCACACACGAAAGTGGAACACTTTGTTCCTATCCTAAATTTGCTTAAAAAATTTTCTTCTCTTTTATCTCAAGTGGTGCGCAGTCACTCGTTGTCCACATATTCATTTTCTATCACCAAGCCTCAACTTCTACAAAAGAAATATATGTGTATATAAAAACATGCTAGACATCAAAGTTTCAGTTTCAAAAAGGGAGTATTATGATTTAGATGTATAAAATACTGATACACCAAAATATTAGTACCAAAGGTCTTTGATATAAATTAATAATATCAGCAAATGAATTCACTAAATGAGCGACCAGTCTTTTGAAATAAAATGCAATCTTTACAGCAGATATAAAATGTCATAAATTTTTATCAAATCACTCTCTCAATAGTAAAACACTAATATCTTTACCTAAAACACTGAAATTACATAACTGTGTTTTAATAATTGGTATTTTAATTTCTATAAATAAAAATACAAAAACAAATACGGGTATAAAATGGCAGCCTTATCAGAGCATGCCAGGGGCGGTGGTTGCTTGAATTCCACAGCGAAGCTCCCAGACCCGAGCACACAAATCTCAGGCCTCATCTCCTGCCAAATGGTGGAGATCAGCATAGTTGACAATAGCACGATACAAGAATTCATACTGGGCCTGCAGCAAAGATATAAAGGAGGAATGATTTCAATACACAGAGATAATTTTGCTTTTATGAAGGGATTTGAGAGCCATATACTAATAAACTTACAAATGTTTGCAGCATTCCATGACGCTGAGAGCGTAGTTTTCGTGTAGTGGTAAAAATATCCACCCTCTTTTCAGTTCGAAGTTGCTGAACCAAGATACTAAGGGCCACAAACATTGAACTCCGATCTGAACCACAACTGAAAACAAAAACGGAAAAACAAAACCTTTCAGTAATACTTACTCTAATAATGATAATGATAATGATAATGATAATAATAATAAAAACAAAGAAAATAGCCAACTTGTAAGAAAGTACTTGATATTTTGACACCAAGAAACAAATTTTGAAGTTGGCATAAACATTATTATTGGCATAAACATTAAAGAAAAATGTGGATCACAGAAAGAGGAATTTTAAAGTGATTTTTGCCTATATACCATCACTTGGTTATTACTAAAGACCAGATTCTGTTGTAACTGCATATTTTCTTTGATAACTTGAAATTGGATGAAATCTTGACAGAAATTTGAATCATGAAACGGATAGTACTTGTTTTATTTTGCACAAAATTGCAAGATATTGCATGTTTTAGGTAATGCTGCCTCAATAAGGCGCATTTGGGGATTTTACTGGAAGAATTTGCAAGATTCATAGTTTTATTGCATAAAATTTAATTTTTATATATTCTCCCCTTAATTCTGCTTTATTCACAATTAGTTCTACAATTTGAACTTTTGGTGAATTTTAATAATATACAAAAACAATTAATTTATAATTACAACGGTGATGTTGCCCAGTGGCAACTCAACTGAATCTGGATGAGAGATCAAGTCGTATGTTGCCAGTAATTAGATTTCTTGGCTATTGTCTAGTAGTTGAGCGTCACGTAGTTGGGGTGGTTCTGAAGCCTGCGATGGTATCTACAACTTAAACTGTTTATTGTTTCTTTAATGGTTTTTATTTGTATGTCATTGTGAAGACTTGTATTAGGGATATACCAATGGACATTTGCGATTTAGATTGAAATATGTATAGGATTTCAATGTTTGAGTGGCTTGCAGTACCCCATAATTGGGTACCATATGCCCAAATTGGCATTAAGTGTACTTGGTATAGCAAAATCTTATTTTTAGAGCCATAGTTGATTTGCGCCCCAGTAGCCAGTATATTGCTTTAAACTTGAGTTCCAATTCTTTTCTTTTTGTGATTATGTGCTTTGCTTTCTGTCAAGGTGTATTCCTAAGTATTTAACGGTATCTGCTTCAGGCAATTATTTATTATTCATTGTAATTTGGAGGCAAGTTTTCTTTTTGTACGTGAAAGTCACATGAAAAGATTTTGTTTCATTAATTTGAATTCTCCACCTTTTGAATTCTGTTGATAATTTATTTTAATGTTGCTCATTCTGAGGGTTTTTCATGATCTTCATGAGAAGTTAGAACTAACGTGTCATCCACATAAGTTGCAGTGGTGATATTTTCAGACGTTGAAAGATCTTGCTGTATAAAGTAAATACAGGACAGGACCTAGCAAGCTTCCTTGGGGCATGCCAGATATAGCAGGAAATACTGTGCTGTATGTTTCTTGATGTTTCACTTAAAGTCTTTCAGAGAGGTATGATTTTAAAATGACGTAGTATTCTTAGGTAATGTCTTCAGCACTTCGCCATTTAGTAAGTTGTAACCTGGAGCTTTGTGTGATGGTAAGTTTTGGCGGATAGATTCTTAAGATATTTATTTATTTCAACATTCTTCAGTTCTGGAAGTGCCAATCTTAAATCCCTTGTTGCTCAGTTCAGATTTCTTTTGTCACGTGAATGCCTTATTTCTTGATAGATTCTTTTTAATTTTCTTTTGACAGAGACTTTTTCTTTGATATATTTAGGATAATATACATTATTATTTTTAGTGTTAAAATTTGGAGTGGAATGCCATGCTGCATCTTGTTATGAATTCAACTCTGTCATCTACTTCCATCTTTAGTCTTCATTGGAATTTAAACCATTAGATTCTATTCAATATACATCTTAAATTCTTCTCAGTCAGTTTTTGAACTAGTTAAGTTAACTTGCTCTTTTGTAGTAAAAGTATATAAACTAATTTTAATAACATTGGGGCTGTCGTCTGAGCTGAGATTTAACGAGGCTTCGATGAAGTTGGAGGAAATGCCCTTCACAATGAAGATGCCTATAAGGTAAAGAATTTTGCTTGTATCTACTGGCCAGTAAAGTCCAGTTGAATAGTACGATAGGTCCATGGATATAATAGTTGTCTACTACATGATGATTAATAGAATTTCTTATTATGATTGAAGTACCTCTGTGAGTTTTTCCACAAGGATTGTTTTTTGTATACGAAATATATTTCGGGAATCTTATACGGCTTATAGATGTGTTTCAAACACTAAAAGTATATCTATTTTACTATTAATGAGGAAATATTTGACTTCTCATCTTCTTCATTCAAGTCCATTTACCAAGATCTGATGGTAAGCTGATTTGTAATTTTGCTAGAAGTTTGGATTAGCGTCCTTATTTGTTCTGCTTGCTTACTAAAATTTACGAATTTCTGAAACGATTCTTTAACTGCAAAAAAAAGTTTTACTGCATGAAAATCCGGTCTTTAGTTATTACCAATGGTTTGGACAATCTGGCTTTATTTAATAAAAATTCAAGGAATAATTTTCTTTGAAGAAGAAAAAATATCTCGCCTATGTCACGACCAACACATATTACGCAAATAAGCAAATTACATATATTACACATATAACACATATTACACAAATAATGCATGTATTACAACCCAATATTTCTTTGTCAATAAAATTTAGTGACCGTATCCACAGTCCGTGAACTTCAAGGCAAGTACTTATACCAAATGTCAATGTGAAGAACTATTAAAATGTCACATAATAGGGTATTTTTAATTCAATTACAAAAATAGTAAACTGTCTTATCACACTCTTTATGTTTCTTATAGTTAAAATATTTAAAAATACAACCTGCAATGTACTACAATTGGTGCTGAGCCTCCATGCGCTTCTTGGTGGCTTTGTGTCTGGTCCACAAGCTCAATTAAACCTCGTGTAACCTCAGGCACTTCACCTTCCACAGTTGGCCAGCCATTATATTGGAATTGTGTCACCATAACATTTTCATCAGTCTAGAACAGAACCATTAGTAGTTTTTTAGTGCCAGAACTTTCCAAAATTCGAACTAAACTTTGGCAATAATTATACGATTATGACATCTCACTTTAACTTCCACACATCAGAAAATCTGCTTTAACCAAATTATAAAAATGAAGTGTTGACAAAACTGACCTCAGCTTAGCTGAAAAATCTACCAGGTATTTCAAAGCATGCACCCCTATAAATGAAGGCAAGTGTTCATTGCAAGAAGAAAGATCATAAGATTGCATTAAGAAAGAAATCTAGAGATTCAACATTATAATTACTTGGAAATTACTGATGTTTTCAAAACTGTGATTATAAAATGAGAAAACCTAAATTCATAAATAGATTGCATGAAGAAAGAAATCTCTAGCTTCAATACTGAAGATGTAGCTCAGATTCAAAAAAAGATGAACTTGTGCCATATTCAAAGCTCCAGAGGTTTTTATAAAAATACGACATACACAATATAATTATGCAAACATTGCTTTATTTGAGCAAAAAGATTAAAGATAAAAATTTGTTGACTTATTTGTTGTCAAGATTTCACTCTCAAATACATTAAAAATACTAATATTATTAAAAAATAGTTCAAAGCATTACAGTGGTGGTGCATTTAGCAGAACTAGTGGTGCTAAATTAGAACATACTTTTTCACATTATTTCTAATTTTCAAATGAAAATAAAACCAAATGTAATGATTCAATTAAAATCACAAGTGATTTAACCATTATGCAATATGATCAGCTGAAATCTTTAAGAGATGAATTACTATGTCTTAATAAAGACTCTCTTGACTACACAATTAAATATATGCAACGAGTCTTAAAAATAGCTTTGGCAAAGAAAAAGGATATGAAAAATTTGATCAAAACCAGTCCAGATGAATAACTCACGTTTTTGGATACGTCACTAATGTAATCAAGGTTTCTTCCTTTTGTTCAAGTGAACTCAGTTTGCAAACTTTTGATTTGGACTGTTCTTTACCAGGAAATTTCTATCTTTAGTTATCACAAAATCAGCCAAACAGACTACGTCACTCATAGGCACACAGGAACCTGATATTACATACAACAGCTGACATTACAATTTCTGAGCGAAGTAATTGAATAAGTTACTCAGGAATTTTGTGAAGAACATTGTGTTAGGAAAAAATTTAGAGTGATTTTTGAGACAATTACTTGTAAACTACTCATATTTTTGAAAAATAGTACATGATCTTATTTCAAGATCAGTCTTTAAGCAACAGATTTCATTCAGGAAAAATATCTATCTTCTAATATTGTAGTTGCAAACGTTGTCAGTCTTCCTCAATATTTCAATAGGTTGTTATAGCGTTTCAAGCGAAAAGCGAGACTAGCATTTAATAGGAGACATCACAGCATTGCTGAGATAATAACTTTCAAAAATTACTGCAGGGATTTAGAAAAATAATAGAAAATTGGCCAAGAAATATTTAAAAGAAATATTTTAGAGACAGGAAGAAATGAATGGTCAGACTTTTATAAATATGCCCACAGACACAGGGGGAATAAGGAATAAAATCCAGGAAATTCAAATTGCGAACAACACACAACAGTGCGATGACCAAGCGAAAGCAAATGCTTCGCTTCAACATGTATTTAGTATCAGTATTCAAACCAAAACGGGTACAGGAACAAGTTATTCATTTTTGAATTTAAAACCAGTTCAAACTTTTGGCATGAGAACTCTGCAAACATAAAATGACTGGAAAATGATAAATCATGCAAGCCCGACTGCATCTTGATAGATTTTATTAAACTTGGTGGTGAGGCAGTATTGCCCTATTTGTTAAGATTATTTAATGTTTCTATTAACAACCCAAGTTTACCGGGCTGGAACACAGCTATAGCTGTTCCAATTTTCAAAACTGGTGATAAGACAAAAGTATGTAATCATAGACCAGTACCTCTTACATCAGTAGAGTGTAAAACAACAAAGCATTTCATAGCCAGATACATTCACCGCGAATGGAAAAAGCACACTGGATTTTTCATGGACAACATAGGATTAACAGTGGATATTGATGCGAAAATCAAATTGTGTCCCTTTTTCAAGACCTAGCTGACAAAGTTGACGCAAGTGGGAGGGTGGATGCAGTCGTAATTGACTTTGCAAAAGCAGTCGACATAGTACTACATGATCTCCTTATTAGGAAATTAATAACTTCTGGACTTGATGCTAGAATTGCGAAGTGGATAAGCGAATTTCTTAGAGACAGGAAACAAAAGCTTTGAATTGAAACTCAGATTTTGACCACAGATATTGTTACTTCAGAGGTTCCACAGGGAAAAGTTTTAAGGGTCATTACTTTTCTTAGCATTCGTGAATGATCAAATGTTAACATACAATCAGAGGTTAGAACTTACAAAACTTTCTCAAAATCATTACCTTGGTATTGGTAATGCTGAATTCACGCCGGGTGTAATAAGGGCAGCTTTCACTTTGAATGTACTTAACATGAATATATTCATGTTGAATTTCATCTTCAGGCCAGTAGCGTAAACATTTCTTGATTCCATCTCCCAGCTACAAAAGAAATATCTGTTTAATCAGCTGACTCAAAAATAAAACATGTTTAAACGATTGAGAATATATAAGGAATACTTACATCTGACAGCATGACTAATGTGCTTACACTTTGTTCTGAAATCATTCTCCAAAAATCAGGTATTGTCAACTCCAGAGGATCTTGTGTAATGATAAACGATTCTGAATTATCATACCCCTGAAAATGCAAAACAAGTATTTGAGGAAGAAAAAACCCAACACAAATGGACAAAAATTTGACAAGAAAAAATTATGAAACAAATATTAAACATGATTGCCAGATATTTTCGGCATGAGCCATTATGTAAAATTGATTAAAATACTTCTCCACAAGTTCCAGCATGAGAAACTTCTTTTTATCACTTGTGGCATCACTATTTTTAGCTTGCAGTGTCACTTTTCATGGTAACCAAATTTTTAAAATATCAGTGATTTCCCACATTAATGCTAAATTTACTTTCTTTAACCTTTAATTGGTGTTGCTGTCTAATATATCACACCAGCAATTTTATACTTGCCCATCAACTACTGAGGAGATTACCAATGTTTTACCTATGCAGGCATACCAGCCCTGAGGAAGACCACGACAGGATGGTCGAAACGTCGGCAACTCAGCCTTCGACGCGGCGTCACCCGGACAGCCCAGATCACCCACATGACTCTGGTCGCGGAAGCCTACGACTTCAATGTTTTACCTAGCCACCCCCATGGGGTGTGGTACCTCACTCCCAATTTTTTAATCATCACACCTCCAGAAAAGTTTAGAAAGTTACACCCACACCTAGAAGTGATGTCAGATAAAAAATACCCAGATGAAGAAATATGAAATGTAAAGGTGTTGATACCACAAGAAAGCATGTTTACATGAAATACTACTCGTAGTGTTGCTTTATTTACATCCAAAATTTAAAAACATGCTACAGCAGCAACCCCTCTTTTACATATTTCAAGGGACGAAGAAAAAATAGTAAGTCACGGGAAAGTGTAAACTGAGAAAATCCTTTTGCATCTGTAATAAAATAAAGAAAATTGACAATCTGTTTTTATTAATAGTAATAACCTTCAAAACGTAATTGTAACTTCTTAGCTTTTCCACTTCCAAATACTACAAGAATTCTACCGTTTCTTCCACATGTTAACACTTCTAGAGTAGTCAAAGGGTAAATAGTAAGCAAAATTATTGCAATCTGGTACGAGTGATATATATTGCAGATACTAACTGAAGGCAGAATAGCAATACCAATTAAAACTTAATATATTTTCATTTCCACATTCAAGTGCCTCTTTCAAATTTTTATAGCCTGTATTACATTTGGCACTGTGACCTCAAGAATTATCGACAGTGCTCTGAGTAGATATGAATATTGATGACTAAATTTAAATTTGACCTCAAAATATGGTTGTTTTGAGATAATAATGTAATCCAAAAGATAAGATCATCAACTTCCTTTTTGTAATGACACATATCACAAAAATTAATCAGAAATTTGCTAAAATGATGGAAATTGGTCACATTTTCATTAGCTTCTCATGGGAACTTCACAACACTTTTCCTCTTGACAGGTTGCAATTGTTGAGATGATGTTAAAATTTAGTCATCAATGTGTATGTGTTTGTGTGTGCACACACAAACATATGTAAGTGTAAGTATATGTACACGCAACTTTGCTCATTAGTTTATTGTATTGTAACAAATACATACTTCAATAAATGATGCATTAATATATGTAGAATGTTCTCTGCCTGGAATGGGTGTAAGTATTACTCGATTACGATCATAAGGAATGACGAGTTCATTGCGATTCTTCATTCTATTCTCATCACCACCACCTACAGAAAATGATTTGCGATCCTCTAATACTCTGTTGATTTTCTGAAAAGAAAAAAAAGTGGATAGCTTAAGTTCACAAACAGAAAAATGATCAATAAAAAAACAATACAAAAACAACAGCATCGCATATTCAAAAACATGTTTAACATCAAAAAAAAATTTTAACATCATACCTCAAAATCTTCCTCCATTTTTGTTTTATCTTTCCCATTCTCTCTCTGCCGCAGTTTCTCAATGGCACCTTTCAATTCATGGACTTTCAGTTCAGTATCTCCAAACTGGGCAACCTCCATAAGGGCCCGATAAATAAATATGTATTGTTTCTGAAAATTAATAAATTTCCATAGGAAAGAACATTAGATACAATTACTAAATTTCTCATCATGTATTATGCGGGAAAGGTAAATGAGGGAAGGAAGGGTTATACAATCTAAATTGGTTTGGTTTCTGAACAAGATTCACCAATACTTTTCAACTTTGCCCATATAAGCCCCAACATTCCCTAACAACCTACTCATTGAGTCCCTATCCATTAACCTTACAGTACTCACATCCTATTGCAAGTAATCGCAAAGGCTACATTTGAAGCTCTGATTAAAATAATATTTTTTGCACTGCGTTTGAGTTACTCTGTTATCTCAAAATATTTATTTGAATATGATGGGCATGTCATTAAATTTTAATGTATGACATTTAAATCTACTTGAGTTGTCTCCTTGATAACAAATGGGGATAATTGATGTACTCATAATGACATATGAAATTTTTTTTCCATTGATAATCACCAGCTAAGGTGGCTCAGGGAATGAACTGGGAGGTCACTAACCGGGAGGTTCTAGGGTTCAAGTCCCGACAGTGGCATGACAGTGACAGTGACATGTACTTTGGCACAACAGCTCTTTACGAGCAAAGGCCTAAATTCTTTGTGCGCCTTCCTTCAGAGGCGAAGTAAAGCCATGTTAGTAGACTTACTGTATGTAAAAGATCCTCAAGTCTAAATGAAGACTGAGTTAAATTAAAATCATCTGTTTCGTTGCCCAAGAAATAGCTCCTTTCTCCACTAGTTGGTGAAAGAAGTGCAGCAAAATTTGCATGGTCAGACAGAAGAACAGGCCTCATCGCTACTAATATCCCCACCATTCTAAACAGATTACGCACCAACAAAAATACAAAAGCTGGGCTACACCTGTTGGCTCCACAAGTACTCAAAGAATATTTTGCAAAAAGAAAATTCAAGTACCTACCAGAGACTGTACAAGGAAATTTCTTTGATGGCGAAGGTCACACACTGTGTTGAAGATAGCAACTTGACCCTCTTCTTGAAGTTGCTGGAGTAAAGAATCCAGGGCTACTAATGTACCTGTACGACCCACACCAGCACTGCAAAAAGAAAATATATTTGAGATAATTTGTGTTATTAACACTCCAAATCTTTAATTTACTTACGCTACAAGCAAATCTTATTTTAACATGCAATGGAGTATTGTTTTCAACTTCTACCATATAGCAGACTTTCACTCGATGAATTTTTTTTTTTTACCTTTTACAAATGTATCAGACAGTTCAAACAATTAAATGTTAAATAGGTTAACAATTAAAATTTAAAAACTGTGTATGAAATGGGAACTATGGGGATAAGTGCAATCTGTGTACATTTTCTTGAGCTCTAGAATCCCTATTCTAGCTCATATGCAAAGTTGAATTATGAACAAAGATAGGAATGAGCTTTTTGGCAAGAACTTACAAGAAGATATTCACTCCCTTGAAATAAAAAATATTTGCAAAGATAAATCAGCTTTAGGTTTTGGCTATTATCCTTATTGTGCCCATTGTGATGAAATAGACTTATGCAAGAACACAGAGAATTATTATTTCAATACAGTGAAACTTAGAATTTACAATTCCTGATTTTACGATTTCCCGGAATTCACGTCATAACTTAGTAGTCCCGGCAAAACATCCATATAACTCGTGTATAATTTTCCTAGATTGTGCGTCTGACTTGTGAAGTCCTATTGTGTAATCAATATTAAGATTTCTGCATGGCAGGATTCTCAATTAAGACGGGCAATCTGAAAGAAAGGCGGCAATGATATGATGTCCTGTCAGTTTCGAGAAGGGTGGTGCGGATACATATAAATGTTGTGTGTTTTGCTATTTGAAAATTCATATTTTAGAAGTTAATGCTCACATTGGGAAGCCACTTGACCTCACTGCTAAAATGGGTTTGAGTGTGTCCAATTTGAATTCAATAGTGAAACAGCGTGAGCAAATTCAAAAGTGTTACACAAGATGCGGATCCGTTGTTTCTGAAGTTGCGAAAATTACTGAAAATGTCTTTGATGGAAGAATTGGAAACTGCCCTCGTGAGATGGTTTAAGCAAGTGAGAACATCGATGGACCACATCTAAAAGAAAATATGCTACATATGGCTGGACGTCTAGGACTTGAAGACTTCAAGGCATCCAATAGCTGGCTGGACTGCTTCAAAAGGCGTCAGAATCAAATTTAAAAACTGCCTCCAGAAAATGTGCAAGTGTGAATCCAGCCACCGTTTTGGACTGGAAATAACAGATTCATTATCTAACTCTGAGGGCTATGAAATGAATATTTTTAAAGCAGACGAAACTGAGACGTTCTTCAATCTCAAGCCCAATTGCTTTTTAAAGGGAACTCATGCCATGGAGGCACTAAATCAAAACAGAAGAACCACCATGCTGTTGGCATGTTATGCCGATGGAAGCAAAAAATTGCCTCCTGTAGTTACAGTAAGTTTAAGAACCCCAATGTTTTAAAAACATTAAAACTATTCCTACAAAATACAAGGCACACCAACAAGCCTGGATGACTGGAAGAATTTCTGAAGACTGTCTCTTACAAGTAGATAGACAGACGGGGGCCAAGAATCGCAAAATTGTCCTCTTCATTGATCAGTGTGCTGCTCAACCAAAAGAAAGTAGTGAGCTGTAAAATTTAAGTTATATTTTTGTCACCAAACTGCAAACTGTACTAGTCAACTACAGCCACCGGCCATGGGCATCATCCTTTCATTCAAAAGCCATTGTAGGAAGCAGTTATAAGAAAAGCCCTAGCAATGATAGATGAAGGGATGGGAAGGGATATTTAAAACTGAAATTACACATCCTTCAAACATTGCATTTTGTCATCGAAGCTTGGAGACAAATATCACCTGAAGCAATACAGAATTGTTTAAAAAAATGTGAGTTTCAAATCTGAAGGTGAAATGGAAAACATTGAAGTTCTTCCAATTTTAGCAGCATACGAAAAGAAAGACTGACTCTCATTGAAGGCAAGTGACTGTGACATCCAAGTTTATGTGACAGTGGACAATGATTTTACAGTACAGTCTGACCAGGTACTAAAAGATCAAATATATACTGTGAAAGAGATTGAATGCTTGAAGTTGCTAAGGAAGGGGAAGTCGAGGAGGAAAAGGTTACTTTCATACAAGCTCTTAAGAGGATTTGACACTGCTTGAAAATATTTTCAGCAATTTAATGTAGAAGAAAGTGTGTTGGTTTCATGCAATGACATAGAAAACAAACTCTAGATGTTATGAGTGTTATTACTGCAGGGGTCAAAAGTTAAAAATAGGCAAAGCATAGCAGTCAGTGCTGAGATCTTTGAATAGGATGAGGCAGTAATAACACAGTAACATTTTGTAATATGTTCAGCATTATTTAACTCGGGCACCATAAAATTTCACGTTTATTAAAAAATTTACATAACTTCAATAACAAACAAATGAATTCTGTTGCTGTAGCAAGTAACTAGGAAATGGTGGGGTGTTGCTTGCGATATACTTATGGATGGATGGACTTTAAGATGGATGCAAATAATTCTCCTGAACCTAAATATACTTACAGAAATGACGATCAATGAGGAAGCTGACGCGTTGACTTCCAGTGGCGACACCTTCAGATCGTCAGTAAATATGTTTACCGGAGAAGAGTTTCATTTAGTGGAATGCCAGGAAAATGAGGTTAATTTATCTAATACACCTTTTTAGTTGTACTTTTAATATTACAAAACACAATACTTATCCCCAAAACTAATGAGTTACTTTTATTCTGAATTGTTTGAATTTGATTTATACAAAACATTTGACTGGCGGTGAATCAATGGTTGTTTATTACATTGATAAGAATGTTAAATTTCTTAACACAGTGATAGGTACAAGTGCACTGAACAAAACTGCAGGGTTTCATGTTAAATGAGGTTAAAGACACATGTGACCGATGAAATTATGTACAAGCATTGCATGTGAAATTTTTGAAGAAAGCTGATGATACTGACACCTGATAAATATGATTACAATATCAAATGTTATAATTGTAGACAATAGTTGTTGAAAATAAAATTCCCAACTTGAGTATGTCATTTTTGACAAAAACAGAGTATTGCGCATCCATGTTTTTACTTATGTCAGTGCCTCTCACACTGGAAACCTTTACATCTCATACATTCATAATACTTGTACAGAATCTTCAATGAATTATTACATGTCTGCTTTTGCTAGCAGAAGTGAGTGAAATCATGAACTATTTATGAGGACATATGTTTTCTAGTTAAATATAGACATTTTTAACATATTAGCGCATCACAAACACTTGTGTAACTTGATATGATTTTGTCACTGAGGAGGACGAGCAGGTCGAAACTTTGAAGGATTCAGATGTGACAATATAATATAAATTTTTAACACGACCCTCCCCCCTTTAATTTTGGAATTTTATGTGTATATACTATTACACAGACTTACTCCTGTAATATTTTGAAATAATAATTAGGGAAATATATTGATTATTTGAAAACATTTTGTGAGATATACTTCAGAGCCAAAAAACAGGTACACCCGCCTAATATCGTGTAGAGCCTCCGCGAGTTAGCAAAAATGCTGCAACACAACGTGGCATGGACTCGACTAATGTCTGAAGTGTTGTTGGAAGTAATTGATACCATGAATCCTGCAGGGCTGTCCATAAACTCATATGAGTATGACAGGGTGGAGGTCTCTTCTGAACACCACATTACAAGACATCCAAGATGTGCTCAATAATATTTATGTCTGGAGATTTTAACTGCCAGTGGAAGAGTTTAAATTCAGAAGTGTTCCTGGAGCCACTCTGTAGCAATTCTGGACATGTGAGCTGTCACATTGTCCTGCTGGAATTGCCCAAGTCATGTCGGGATACACAATGGATATGAATAGGTGCAGGTGATCTGACAGGATGCTTACGTATGTTACCTGTCAACATCATATCTAGATGTATCAAGGGTCCCATATCACTTCAACTGCACACATCCCATACCGTCACAGAGCCTCCACCAGCTTGAATAGTCCCCTGTTGACATGAAGGGTCCATGGATTCATAAGATTGTCACCATACTCATACACGTCCATCCGCTCGAAACAATGTGAAACAAGACTCTTCAGACCAGGCAACGTGTTTCCAGGCATCAACGGTCCAATATCGATGTTGACGGACCCAGACGAGGCGTAAAGCTTTGTGTCATGTAGTCATTAAGGGTAAGCGAGCCTTCTGCTCTGAAACCCCATATCGATGTTTTCTAGAATGGTTCACATGCTGATTCTTGTTGATGGTCCGGCATTGAAAACTGCAGCAATTTGTGGAAGGATTGCACTTCTGTCATGTGTAATGATTCTGCTCAATCATCATCATTCCTCTTCCTTCACAATCTTTTTGCGGCCACAATGCTGGAGGTTTGATGTTTTACAGGATTTTTGATATTAATGGTCCACTCATGAAATGGTCATACAGGAAAATCCAAATTTCATTGTACCCTCGGTGATACTATGCTCCATCTATGTTACGCTGACCATAACACCACGTTCAAACCTCACTTAAATCATGATAACCTGCCATTGTAGCAGCAGTAACCAATCTAATAACTGTGCCAGATTCTGGTTGTCTTATATAGTCGTTGCTCATCGGAGCACCTTATTCTGATTGGTTACAGATGTCTTTATTTCATTATGCACGGCTGTACCAGTTTTTCTGGCTCTTGAATGTACCATGTATTGTAATAAAAAAATTGTTAATAATGATAGATTTTTAAATATGTGAGTTATGTTTGGCCTTTATACTTTAAAAATAATTCATAACAATTCCAATGTGCTTTGTACCTGTTAAAGGGCTGTAAAGGTAGTTAATAAATTGAGAAATGGGAAACATATTCGCACATACTTGTTAAAGTTCCAACTGTGACCAGGAGGTGAAATAAATATTATTATTGTTGTTATTATTATTCCTCCTTTTCTTTCCTTATCATCTTCTTCTTCAGCTTTTACTTATTCCGGTAAGTTATTTTTCATTTCCATAACATTTTATTGTTCCAATCACCAAACTTCAAGATTTCTGTCATTCATTCCATTTTTCATTTAGCTTTAGGAGACCAATTTATCAGTTCATCCACCGATCTGGTTTCTGTCATTTAAAAGATACTGCCATACCATTGCAGAGCTCTGTTTCCCTAAAGTTTTGTTAACCTGGCAGGCATGATCCCCATTCTCTTTCAATTTTTTTTCAGTTTACATTCAGTTATCTTTAAACATCTCTCCTTAAAATCCAATTCTACGGACTTAATTCTGTCACTCATTGATTTTGTAAGTGGTCACATCGCTTTATACATTAATATATTTTCCGCTATATACTAAACAATCTTTTCTTGGCACCTTGACTTAATGTTTCATTTCACTAGAGTCTGCGCAAAGCTTAAGTTTCTCTTGTCCTCGTGATTTTTTGTGGATATATTAATTTCGAAGTTTCCTGAAGAATAATCTGTTGTTCCCAAACGTTTAAAATTATCACATTTTAATTTCTTCATTTTCAACTTATAAAATCTGAGCACGGTCTCGAAACCACATATGGTCAGTCTTTTTAAACTTCATCTTCAAGCCCCATCTCTCACATTCATTTTTTAATTTTCTGAGCATATATGTTGTCATAATATGCATACTGTCATATGCATTTTGTTGACATCAGCAACTGACTGGCAAGCATATTTAGCATACGACTTTCCTACAGCCCCAAGTTCAACCACCAAAGGATATCAGCAAAAGCTTGATTTCTGCATAAATTGAAATAGTATCATAAAATACTTTAAAGGAGGATTGCACTATAACACATTAAGATGAGCCATCTCTTTTGAAATGAATCTTCTTCTGTTATAAATACTTTTTTAACTTCAATAGGAGGCAATTATACAATTCAGCATAAATATTTTTATGAAGTTTGTTTTGCCATTACATTCACAAATTAACCATCAATTAAATGATTTGTCCTATTACTTAAAGGGTAAGGTGCCCTAGTGGTTCCAATATAATTAAACAATATTCTGAAAACGGAGTTCAAAGATGTAAAAATGTATGAAGCGGGGCAACACTAACCATGTAAACAACACTAGCGACTAAACCATATGTACGATTTCTTCCAAAAATGGTAGATAGACAGTGAGACAGATTTGATTTATTTAGTATTTTCAACAATGATTTGATTTAACTTTAGGGCTGCAAATTTGAAACAGATCTTTCAATTTTTGGGAACCTTCCATGAAGCTAATTCTCATAACTATCTCAGAAATAGCTGTAAAGTTTGTCTTTAAATATCTTGCTCAAGAAGATCAAAGGGTGCTTGTAAATATGGTCAAAGGGTCAAAGTCTGTTATAAATTTTTAATTTAACAAAATCGCAAAAACTGAACTTTTTAAAACTTTTCTTACACTTTCATTAATGAAGCTAGAAATGTTTTTCTTAATACAAACAATTTGTCAATATTACCATTTGAAATGATTTAATGTACATTAAATGTATAAAATGCAATGATTTTTTTAAATTAATTTAATTTAATTTCAACGTTGACTTCTGGTTAGGTCATCAGTTGCGACAGTTGAGCTTTTGTATTTCTGTGTGACATTTTGATACCTGAAATCTTTCTACCAAGCCTAGAAATCAATGATCAACCCTTCTAACATTTATACAGTAGGCATTCTCAATATACTACTACAATCCACACCAAACCTTGATTCTCTGAGGAATGATGATGACTCTTGGGCCCATCCATTTCAAAATTGGATTAAAACAAGACTAACATCAAATTACTTACCTACAATGTACAAGAATTGGTCCTTTTTCCAACGAATACGCTTCATTAACTCTCTTGATAAACTTCAATATACCAGATGGATGCTCAGGAGCCATGAAATCCTTCCATACAAGATAATGATATTGAACAATACTCCGCTCTTCACGGCCACTTGAGCTAGTAGCACGATACATTTTGAGTTCTCTGATAATGTAGTCTGGAAAATAATTTTAAATAATCACATATCCACCTACATTTATATTTGGAATTGCAGTATTCCTTTTACAAGCAACACTTGTAACATTAAATGAGCACAATGAACATTTAAAATATAAATATGGCTGGCCAAAAACTATTTGAGTTTCAACATTTTGAAAGTTAATCATAAGGCATGTGGAATCAATATTACTCCCCACATATTGTCTTATCAAAATCATTCAGGAAAATGCTCATTACTAATTACAATTGTCACACAATTAAAGGAAATAGAAAAACAAAATGTTTAGTGTTACAAATAGATACTAGCTTGAAACGGAAATAACATCAAGCTGTTGTCAGAAGAAAAAAAATGTAATATTTATTTTTTATAAATAGGAAAATATCAAACAAATATCAAGCACTATTCAATTTTTAATAATTTAGTATTCATTATTTTGCCGCACTGCAGTCAACAGTATAATTACATAGGAAGGAGATCAAAAAAACTTAAAAATCCATAATTATTTATATATTTATTTATCAATTATAGGCTGTAATAGCTCAAAATATAATATTATAAATATAATATAATAGATTATTAGTATTCAGAAGTCTATTCTCCATGGAAATCAGATGAAAGTAATTCCCTAGCAAACTTTTAAAAAATGGATAAAGACGAAGTAACAAACAAGGGATATCTATTGTTCCACAATCTTGACCAAAAGTGTTTACACATAGTGAGCTGGGAATGCACACCATGCCACAATACACAACATCCGTGTGTTATGTGGAATTCAAATCCTCATCCTGGATGCAAAGCATAATTGGGCACAAAGTTCTTGTGCCATCCAGGCCAGCTGGGAATGGAAGTAAGAGGGATGAAAGGTGATACATGGCATTTGGAAGAGCTTCACCATACCACACAAGCAAACATCCATGCCCACTTTCCATCAGCCCCGCCCACCACCACCACCACCACCACCACCTGGAAAGTAACTGAGAGGGGATTTAAGTTTGGACACGCCATGTGTAAAACTCTCATCTGAAGCTCTTATAAAATATCTTTCACAATGGTCAGTTTCTTTAAAACTTTTGGATTTTCAAAACGTAAAGCCATGTTTTTCTTCAGAGATACGTTACAGCATATAAACTGTTTAACCACATGGCAGCTGAATGTTTGAGAAGCTGGCCGCAGAAACCTAGGTTCTCTATTTAATATGCCAGCTCAAGCGAATACTTCAGTAGAGATGATGATTCGCAAAATCATTTGTAGGTCAATGAATTGATCCCCAAGAGAAGTAACATGTCTTTGGCTGTCAAACATGCAAAAGAGTTCAAGTGTGCAAAATTTGTCGCTAGGGTTTAGTGTCGCTAGGGTTTAGTGAGTGAGTAGATTATATTGTGCAAGTGTTTAAAGAATATGAACTTTTTTTTATTGTTGTAATATACAGGACCACTAGGCCTGTTGTTTAAATATAATATAATAAAATAAAAAAACAACTAATTTTGGGTTATTCAAATACTACTTCAATGTTTAAATGTCTGAAGAGTACATTCAGTAAACACACAGAAAAAATTCTGTCTTCTCAAGCAAAAACATTGCATATTGAAATGATGAGAGATATGCAATAATAAATTCATTAGAACTGAAAAACCCAAACTTGATCTCAACATTATGTTGAGTTTTTAAATTTATTCCTAAGAATGAATACAAATTGTTTTGTATCGATTTCACTCAAATCAATGATGACTAACCTGAGTAACGCTTCTCTTGCACATGAGCTACACTGATGTCACCAAAGCCCTTCTCTCCTTCTGCTTCATCTGGCCAATACTTCGCACATTTTGTTTTGCTGTATTCTTCCAAATTTGTAAGCATTAGTATCAACTCCAAATGCTGTTCCCAAACCATTCTCCAGAAATCACATACTGTGTTATCCATTGGTCCTGAAAATAAATCACAGTTAAATCACCATTAAATAGAATAAAATAAGAAAAACTCTGAAAAATTGTTTGTTAACAGCTGAATTTGACTTGCATTTTTAAATGCTTATTTCTTTATTTTCAATTGTACATGAAATTGCATATGTGAATTATCCATCAAAACATTATAAAACATAATTTCATATAATTTACTATATTTGGAAAAGTACTCACCCCATTACAAAATTTATTATAAATAATTATGTACGTAATAGAATAGAACATTACTAATACAATAAAAAGAAATTACAAATAAAAAATTTAAAAATACAAAAATGTTGTGATCAAAAGTCACATAAGTTTTACAATTGCCAATTTTGAAGGCAGGATATCAAAATGCCATTAACATTAATGTTAAGATCATTAACAATTCTAAAGTTACCATAATGAGGTACAAACTGGTTTGAACATGCATTATGCACACAAAACACAGTTTCAACGTTATTACATAGACTGCGAAGTGGAAAACTCAATTACTTTGTGGTTTGGTGGAAGAGTAGGCTTAATGGCCTGAGTCTCACTATTGATAAAGACAATTTTATTGTTGTTGTTCTTAATATATATATTGATGATGATGATGATGATGATGATGATGATTATTATTATTATTATTATTATTATTATTATTATTATTATTATTATTCAAATCATTATCATTATTATTATCATTATTATTATTATTATTTATCAAATCATTATCATTATTATTTTTAATTATGGTTTTTATTTATTTTAGAAATCAGAGAAAACAATCAAATCATTTAATAAGTAATTTGCAAACAAGATATAAAATGCTAACCTATTTTTAAATGGCAAATTATAACACTCATCCAATTAGATTCTGCTGAAGCAGCTCATTTATAAAATTGGTTTTGCATACATATATACAATTAAAAAAAAAAAGTACAAATGCCAAATAAATTGTTCGAACTTTTTTCCCCTCTTGAAAGTTCCCAGACTTAATTTTATACTTGAAAATTAAAAGACATCATTGGATAGTCAGATGTCCAGGATCATAAGTTCTTAATGCTTCTTAGCAGTGCCACAATACAGAAATAGTAGAGAGGTTCTCCAGTTCTTTTATCATAATCTGCTGATATGGTCGGTAATGATGTATCGTGTTTTTCATTATATCAGGTTACTGATGTCAAAAAATAGTTTTGATAGTGTGAAATATATCAACAATTACCAGTTTTTAATTTTATCTATTAGTAATTCAGTAAGTAAACATTCAATCAAAGTCCCAAAAAATTATAATAACACATGAGAAAATTAAATAATTGGATTTTAGTGACAACAGTATGAAAGATATCCAATTACTAAAAGACAATGTTCACTAACCTTGGGCACAAATGAATTTCTTTCTTTCTTTATATCCAACAACAAAATTTGCATTGATGTAGTCAGACCCTACAACACTATCAATCTGGGAAAGACGGACCCGTGTCTGATCATAGGCTTTAATATCTGGGTACCGATTTTTGTATAGATTCTCTCTGGCCTCAGAATGGCGAGTAGTACGGTCAGGAAAACGATCTGGTAGTAACTGCAACAATAATTGAAGTAATCATAATAATTATTGAAAACCTAACCTAGCAGAAGAGAAATAAATAGACTAGTCATATACGACATACCTCAAACTCATGCTGAAATCCATAGTCAGAATCACGATGTCTTTCAACATATGCAACAGCTAATTCTGCTTTAGAGATAGGAGACATGTCTGGGGGATTGGAAGATACGAGAACATGGCGTCCTCGGAGACTCCTACATAAATGCCTACATATAAAAAATGCAATTATGAAAATTTAAAAATGATTTTCAAGACAAATCTATTAAGTCTACACCATTATCAAAACAAATTGAAATAAATAATTCTCTTAAAAAAATGTTTCTATTCACAATTGTATCTTGAACATTTAGGGGAAAGTAATAACATTTGTTCATTATATCAAATCTTGTAAAATTAAAACTAACCTAAATGAGTTGGTCAGAGTCATTTCAACACCTTGTGCTTCAGCAACCTGTTTCGTATACCGCTGTAGTAAGCAGAGTGAAACCAACAATACCAAAACTACAAGCACTAATGCACATAGTACTTGCAATACAACTGCCAACACCTGTGGTGTGTCTGATGCTGCTAAGGCCTCTGGCCCTGGGCCTGGTTGAAGAGGTTCAAAATAATCACTATAGGCAGGTAACAAAGAATGGTTCGGTCCAAATACTGCAAAGGAATAAAAATTAGAAAACCACTCCATTTGTAATAATAGTGCATAGGTTTGCAGGATAACAAAACTTACCTACAACTTCAACAAAACCAGTGTAATTACTGTATATGTCCAATATTCCATCTTCAACCATAACTGTTCTGATGAGATTAGAATCTGGGGTAGTAGCGGCATGATGTAGATAATAGGGAAGGTGTAACTCAGAACGCCGCATTCGAACTGGGGTGGGAGATGAGGGAGTAAGAATAGTAGACCCTGGTTCAGAATTAATGATCTCCACAGTAGGGGCTGGTCCAGATCCTGTACTTTCTGGTGCAACTATTGTACTATCAGGAACACTTTCAGCTTTTGGCCCAGCGAGAACAAAGTCTGTAGGAAATGATGCAGTGTGTACAAAGGTATCAGCAGTACTAACCGGATTATGGGGAGGTCCTGTTTTAGGAGTAGCATTGGTTAAAGAAATAGCACTGGGATCAGTGGTAGTGGTAGTGGTGGTGGACCTCACTGTTGTCGTTGAAGTAGTAGTAGTTGTGGGTGTAGTCGTTGTTACACGTGATGCTCGTGGGCGAGATATCACACAATGCATACAAGCAGAACTGTGACGTTGAAGATAGTCATCATCTCCAAGAAAGACTTCATTGTTCAAAGCATCACTGTGAAATAAATATTTTATTCACAAAAATAACATGGATTTTCGCAACATACTTCAGATTCAAACAATAGACCTACCCATCAAACATTTCAGCAACATATGCACCTCCTCCTCCTTTTCCTTGATGTACTTCAGCATATGTTGATAATGGGAATTCTTTGGGTGATGGAAGGTTAGCTATATTTTGTTGAGGTTCCAACTTCACTAAAAAGACCCTAAGAAATTAAAAAAGTACTTTGTGTATTTGTCGTAATATAAGTACATATGAATCGTGTACAGAAATTTTCTTCAAACCATTTTCCAAACATGTTTAAAATATTTTTCTGAAACTATAAAAAGAAAAATACTATCCTTGGTAATTAAACGTTAACTGTTGTTCATAAAAATAAAAACTTGTCTCAATTTTTGCAATGAGTTACAATCAGAACTAATCAGAAGAGAGAAAAATAACGAATTCACATTCCATTTTTGTAAAAAACCTGGCACACACCTATAACAGCAAATAGGACCATTTCTTTCTGACAAACGTGGTAGAAAAAGCTTAAAAAGCCATCGTCCTTGTTCGTGCAACTTCCCCCAAAACAGATGAGCCAATTTGTCCCTGTCGGGAACAGTAGGTGGCATGTGACAATGGCCAGAAGCCTCCTCTCCACGTTTCCGAGTTCTTGTCACAGCAGATACTCGCACACTGTAGTTTGTATTTGGCTGCACATAATTATAATGAGTATTTAGCGCTTTCTCATCTACTCGATGAATCGAGGGATCATTCTTCAATTGTTCAATTTCTCCACGTTCATTTTTGAAAACTGCAGATCCGTCCAGAGTAACCTATACCAAAAACAAATGTGTCATCTACGAAATTTACTGTGATAAAAAACATGCAATAAAACCAATTTCAAATAAATAGGATGTAAACTAAAATAAGATGCCCAATAAGCCAAAGCATTAATACAACAAAGAATAAATATCAATACATGAAAGTGACATACTGTGCACTTATTTGTTAACACAGTTTTTATCACATTCAAATCTAATACAGCCATGCCTCCATTAGTTAGTTCATGCTTGTAAGTGAAATTATTTTATTACCTGATGCAACATGTAGAATGCCATGCATCTGTGCCTTCTAGTTCAGTAACACGAACCATGTTAGTGAGCATTACAAACTGTAACAAGCTATTTGTTAACTGAAAATGAAGTTGTAAGTCTTCTTATATACTACATAGCAACTAAGAAAATAAGCCAGAAACAAGCCAGCAATTACTACAAAGAATATGATAAAACAGATACAGATTATTAATATCTAATTATTTCTACATTGAAAAGCACACACTCCATAGAATAAGCAAAAATTGTCCATTATGAGATATTTTTAAGGGGAAGGAAAAAGATATTTCTTGATCATATTTTGCATAGAAATGATATATTTTTCAAACACAGAACTATCCATTAATTTCATCACGAAAAGTTCAAACCAGTATGAGTAAAGTTATAAAGAAGGTACAATATAAACAGATTACAAAGCAATCCTAAAAAAATTGTTCACTAGTGCTTTCTTCAGCTTTTCTCTGAAAGAAATTTTGGAGTAGAAAATTATATTCGATAACTGTTGAAAGAATTACCTCTGTGTCCATATATTAATTAACAAAATACAGAAATTAAAAAGAACTTCAAATATACTTTCAATAACATTAGCTTATTTGCACAATGTCAAATGCATCTCACATGTTAAAAATGCAACAAAATAAAACACTATTTTGTAATATAATTCTCCAAATTGAATTAAAAAAAAACATTAAAATCTATAAAAGATTCTAGATTTCTCAATTTAATTAGATTTTTCTCATGTTATTTCATTATATTTTCCCAAGAATTCAGAACTCTATTTCAGAGAGAACGTTTTCTTAGGTTTCGGCTAATGATATTGTTCACTTAATAAGCCATCAAAATAATTCAAAAAGTTTGGATTCATCAAGAGAATTCTGAAACCAACACTAGTAACCCTGAGTATTGCAGCTACATAACTATCGAGAATGCCAGTGACTGACAGACTGCAAGTTCAATCCCGGGCAGATCTTGAAAATTTGCCCAATATTTTAAATATCAGTGGGTGCTTCAGATAACCAGGATGCAGATGCCATGCCCCAAGACCACACAATCAATGTCTGGTGACCAGCTAACCACTAAATAAATATAAAGAAAAAAAAAGAAAATTTTGTTAATTTATAGGTGTTGTGGTAAGATATCTTTGGCATTTTTAAAATAATTAAAGATCGTTTTTGTGGCCTCGTAAATCGTAGTCGTTTTTGTGGCTTCCATCTAGCAGACAACTGATGATGATGGCTAAGCCATCGAAAGCTGCTATTGCATTAAAAAATATTGTTGGCAATGACAACATCTTTAATTATTTGTTAATTTAACTTCTTGTTTGAAAACTACACAATTAAGTAAATACAAACATTAAAAAAAAGTTAAATAATGCCTGCACACTACCCCTTTACGAGCGTGGGGAAATGAAGGTTATGGCTCCATCTTTTCACTGCCTTTGGTCCTAGCTGGACATATGGGAAACACCATTCTTTGAACACCTTTAACCCCTAAAGATTTACAATTAAGCAAGTCACATACTAAATCTTTGGTACTCACTGGATAGGAGATTGAATGAACCTCACAGTGTCACAAGAACCTCACAAGAATTTAAAAATTAATCTTTAAATGAATATTATGAATCTTTGCATTAACAGAATAAGTTAAATAAATTGGGACAAAAATTACATGCACAACAATTATTTGGACCAGGTCTTATTAAACAATTTTAAAGCTGAATATAGAAGAACATTAAAAAACAAATGCAAATAGAAATAAGGTGCATTAACAAAAACTACAGAGAATGAGAATTAATGCCATGCCTTGTGAAAAAGCAACACAAGAAAAAAGAAGAAGAAAAAAAAAAAAGAGTTTAATAAAACTACAGAAGAAACAAAGAGGCAGGAGAGATACTAAGCTGAAGATTATTTTATTTTTTCCAAGAATAATATAACAGTAGTCACAATCTCTATTTATTTCTCATTTGATTCTTTTACAAATGTAGAACAGAGAATAAGTGGAAGAAGGGAAAACACACACACACACACACACACACACTTTGAATTATCAGAAAAACTGTACTTCAGATATCAATCGAAGTACATGAAAAAGAGTATTTCATTAAGATATTTCTTAGTAGACTAGCCAAATGTTTTAATTTTTTTTTTTTTTTTTGTATTAATGAATACCTTCAACTCTAATTGGCAATGAGAGATAAAAGATTGCACATTTACGGACTACAACACAATACCTCATTCAAATTCTGGAAATATGATGAGAAATATAAAAAATTTGGTGAAACCTTTGTTCAAAATTCTTATGGGCTTCTTCATACTATCTGACATAGTAACTAATATAGTTCTTTAAATAGACATCCACTTCATGATTGCATGCAAAATTTTCAATAGTTAAGTGTTAAGTGTTGCTTGATGTTGAAGAGAACAGTCTTCGAAATGTTGTGAATAAGCAGACATATTACAAGTCTTTTTTTCTTCTTCAGTTGTTAAAAATCCTGATTGACACAAATGGAAACTTACAAAGATAAAATAATGTTCGACAATCACAATAATGTATAGAATAATGCATTTGTATTATTAAAATAAATATGTTCATTTTCCACGCTCAGTATAGTCTCCAACTGTAGAGAAACAGTTATGCAACAGAAATAATTTTAATTGTCGTTTAAACTTGTGTATTGATTTAAATAGTTTAATGTCATCTGGCAATAAATTGTCAAATAATGTACATGTATTATATGTGAATTTCTTGATGTTAGAAACTTAAGATTCTAACACCAGTTGAATAGGATACATGTTCCAATTATAGTGACTTGAAGGAAACCCATGAATGACATTTGCTTATTATTTGTACATTTTCTTGGCAAACTATGTGCTATGGGCAGTATGAAGACTAATTGATTTTCAAAGAATCCTGAATGTGTATCATAATAATCTGAATTTAGAGATCAATTCACTTATATGGGTATTCCATTTGAGGTTTGACTGAATTGAGAGACTCAAAAATGTTGTTACCTTAATTCCAGCCAATTGCACACTGTTCATTTTCAATGGCTCATGCAAATGCCTGTTTGAAATGCAGAATTGAAACCATTTTTCCTTTGTTTACATCAATTGGTTATTAAAAAAAACAATCTGAAATATCTCAAATTGTACTACTCTACTCTTTTTTCTTTTTTACAAAGAACATTCATTTAATCAGCAAAGAGAAGAGTTATTCCACTTCTAATGGACGAATATTGAATAAATGAAAAGTTCAAAATTTTCTTAAAACGTTCCCATTGTTCAATATTTCTTTCCTCCTTTTAATAAAACACAATGAATGAAAGAACGTCAAAGATGCATCTACTCCCAAATTAATAAGCATTATTTTCAAATCTTTCAGAAAATGAAGACCTTAGAAGATGAATATTTTAGTAAAGTGTTTGCAAACTTGAGTTTTAACTGATTACTTTTCTACTGAATTAAGCAATTCTAATTTCTACTTTAAAAGAAAGCAATAGAAGTACTTAGGTTTACAAACAAAATGCGGCTAAATTAATACTGTGCATGAACACAAATTAAAACAGTATTATCTATATACTCTTGAGCATTTGTTTCTAGAATACAAATACAAAAACCTCTACATCTACACATAACATCAACTAATACACTACTAAATGAATAAAGAGCATAAAGTCATGCTAGGCATGCTGCTTGCACAAAGAAGTTTTGACAATGCCACAATTTAAAGCTTACATCATAGCGACCAATTTTGCCGTTCGGGTCTCGAGGAGGAGCCCAAGTCACAATAACAGAACTGCTGCCACTAACATTGTCGAATTTACACACCACACTGACATTTTCAGGCGGCCCAGACACTGAAACAAACACACAACACACAGTGCAACATAACAAATTGTACAGAAATCCATAGTCCTTTTGACAACTTACCTCCATCCATTGTAGTACCGTTTACTGTCTCAGACCAACTACCACATTGCCTTGTGTATTCACTGCAAGCAGACATCTGCAACATTTGAACTTTAATGCATTTTTATTCACTTAAAATTCAAGGGGAACATATTAATTAATGAACACACTATCATACCTCAAAATTATAAGTTGTAGCTGGTTTTAGATCAACAAAAAGATATGTAGGTAAATTCATAAGTGATGCAAGTTGAAGTGCTTCCTTCTTTGTTCCATTGTATCTAACAACCAACTGATAATAATGAACATGCTTCATAATTTTATCTTCAGGCGGAAGCCACCCAATAGTAATTGAATTAGAAGTGACACCCTTTACAAATATTACTGGTACAAAGTCAGGATCTAGAATGGCAAATTATTTAGTTAGCATCAATAAATGCACTTTTTATAAACTGATATATAAACTTGAAACTCGATTCTACCTTTATCAAGGGTTGATACAGCTTCAGGATATGTATATTCATTGCTTCTCCCAATGGCGTTCTTTGCACTAAGTCTTAGATGGTAGGTTGAATTTGGTTCGAGGTTTTTCAGAACATAACTAGTATTTCCACCACCAATTTTTTCCTGGTAGTATGTCCAATGTTTCGTACCTCCTTTCATATGCTTTGTAAAAGAAAGAAAAAAAATAATTTTACAATAGAATTAAAATGGCATATCATAGTTTTACTTTCCCATCTGGCATTCGTTAGTAAGGAGAAAACATACATTTAATATAAAAAATACAAAAAATAATATAATGCATAATAAGCAAAATATACAGAATTTAAATGAACACTTTTTAAAAATTTCTTATATACATTACTTCACATTTTAACTGAAACCTACATTATGAATTCATTATTAGCAAAGGTGAAATATTATCTTTTTCTTAATTTTTACTTTCTCGTATCTACTTGATAGAAAGAGAAAATTATGTAATGTAGCAAGGAAAAGTACTGATTTCTTCCCGGCAAAACATGTTTTGTGGATCCTTGTTAACAAAAAAAATTGATTTTTCTGGCTCCTATAAGACGCCAATTACTTTCTTGAATTTTAGTGTAGTCAGAATCCACATTTTGTGGGTCGTTGATATAGAAAAGTATTTTTTCTCTCCACGTGTGCCTGTCTTATGAACAACTCTAGTACCTAGAGCCCCAGACAGTTAATAGAATTTTCACCCAAATTGATCCGACTGATATCCCTTGGATTTGATACAGATGTTACAGTACTTTACATGAAGCCTGTATGACTCTTCAAACTTTTCTCAAAATGGCTCCAAAATTTGTTTACATTTTTTGCTTAAATACAGAAAAGTATGCTAATAAAAATGGCACAGGTCCAATTTTCATTAAAACTTCTCACATTTGGAAATTCTAATAGTTAATTTTTTTTTCAGTGCTCTGTTATAACTACATTAATAAAAAAACCTAAACTCTGGTTTTTCCCCAGCTTCAATGAAGCTGCACCACTCCCCCCACCTGGTATTTCATTCATTCCATATCCATAACTAGGATCTTGAGAGGGGACATCCCTCACTCGCTCACCATTTTCCCTCAGGCTCTAGCAGGGACCTTACCTACTGATAAGTACCCCGAGAAAACCTGCCGCGAATCCACTTTGTCCACTACAAATTTCACTGGGAACCACCTGGGATCAAACCAGGGCACCAGAAGTGGAAGGTGTGCAGTCTAACCCCTTGGCCATGGCCTACCCCTACTACATTATTAAAGATAAAATATATTTTCTTAATGAAATCTGTTCTTCAAAATTGGATCTTTAAATAATGCCATGAACAATTGAAGCATGAGCTTTAACAACATTGTAAGGGGCAATTTTGTGAAACAATTCTTTGTGTACTCCTCTTCGTCACTGGAAACATAATAGCTATCAAATGGACACTGGTTGTAAGAAAAAAGTGTTTGGATTATACAGGCCATGCTGTAACAATTGTATAATGAAAAAATGGAGGGTACTAGGTCAGTTGCATTGTCAATTTCTGCAGAAAAACATGAAAATTGTATTATGAAGAGAACAAGAAATGACTGAATGGAAACAAAATATCGGAAAAAGATGCAGATGAAGGTAGAGAGTATCTTAGCTTCAGAGACATTATAAAACCAGCATTGCCAGAACCAAATGAAGTACATAGAACAACTTTGTAGCATAATAAATGAGGTACATAAAATAATTTTCTCGAATTTTAGGGCTTATTTAGGTTAACATATAATATTTTACCATGAAAAATGTGGAACTTTACTTCATTAATCATTTTTGGTGTAATTTAATAAACATATGTTTACCTGTTTTTAAAATATTAAATTTCTTCAGTACAATGTGTCTTTTAAGGTGACATTTATGCTTGTAGAAATGGTTTCTTCGGCAAGACTATCAGTGGGTCAGAAAAGGGAGTTTTACATAAATTTCTGGTCTACGAAATACAATGAAGAAATGCCCTACCAGGCTTACAACATTAACGAACTTGTAGAACCAAAAAGAGGTTGAGTTGAAGCAGCAGAATCATGGTGTACACAAAGTGGGGGTATGTAAGAAAACTATCTTAAGACACACTTAAAATAATTCCTAGAAATCTTCAAATACTTGTACATAAGATTAAAAATAATGCTAAGTTGCATGATAGGAGGGGAACTCATAAAAATTGACCTTGTTGTATTATCAATGCTTCCAAAACTTCAATTTACCATTACTTAGAGTAATTTCCTTAGCAAGAAAGTTATTGGAGTAGGATGAAGACTGAGACGATTCATCTTCCTGCCGAAGCTTAGCCTATGTACAATGCACAAGATGTATATCGAAATGAACCCTGATTTGAAAGTTTCAAGGTGAACATACACAGATATTTTCAATCATCGGTATAAATGACAGTTTGGTGTGCCTTGATCTAATTCTTCAATGACTTGCGATAAAATTTACATCAAATTGTGTTCATGCGACAACAACGAAAGACAGTTTGCTGGATGAAAGTATATTACATCATTCCATGTCAGATTTCACGTATGCCAGCCTGCAGGCTGATACAGAAGTTTCTAAGATTAATTCATAAGTTCATGTCATCTTTACTGATTTGCAACAAGTCTTGTTTTCTCCAAACTTAAAACACTCATCTATATTTTATCAAAGGCAGTTTACAAGCTACAACTACTATATTCATGATGCTGCTTCCAACAATGCTCATTTGTTTCTGTGGCACACAACAATGGGGTTGCAGAGAATCACGAAAATAGTCACATGGTTTTGAAGTATATTAGAGATAACTTCCAACCACTAGAATCAGGTGAAGAATGAAAATTAGTAATTTGGTCTGATAGGTGTGTTGAGCAAAATAACGAACCAAATGCATATAATGTTTCAGCTGCTAATTGTTTCCAAATATTTAACTCAAATTGACCAAAATTCCTAGCAAGTGGCCACAGTTCTCTTACCTGTGATAGGGACTTTTCTTTCATTAAAAAGAAGAAGTATGAAATTGTAAATGTACCATTTGACTGAATTGAAGTAATAGTTCATTCATGATCACGTAATCTCATTAGTGTTATACCCTAGAGAGGATTTTAAAAATTTCTTACAAACTGAAGCTTACATGAGAAGTGATTCTAAACTAAAAATAACTGGTCTTGTGGACACAGATTTCTAGTGATGACCCAACATCAACAAGAGTTAGAAAATCTTACAATGTTTTACAACCTTGGTTGTCATTTTCCTTAAATAGGTCCAAAAAAGGAAGAAGCAATCAGAATGTCCAGCCCGTTATTCACAATACTGGAAATCTACCACCTGCCTTTACCACAACTCATCCTTCAAACTTGCTAAAAAGAAAGATGTCTTGAACATTTCACAGGTTCTTCTACTTCAATACAGAAAGTTCTATATATTCCTATATTATTATTTTTTTGATCATTCAATTTCTTTTTAATTTTATATTGTATAATATACTATTGTTACATTATTCCATACTAAGTATATTATTCCAATGTGTAATTTTGAATATAAATGTTAATTTTCAATCAAAACATAGGCCTACTATATTTATGAAACAATGCATGTCAGTAATATTGTAATACTCGGGCAACAGTGTGTTGTGTTGAGCAACTTCTTGTGTTAAACCTTGAAATTAGTTGCTCAAAATGAAATGCAAAATTTCGAAAAATGTGTTGCCCTAAAAATATTGTATATCCCTGTACATTTAACATTGTTACATGGAAATACATGTCATTCCTGCATTATTTCAGGCATGCTTTACCAGCATATTCAAATATTGCTAGGAAGTAAGAAACATGTTATATCCTTTCACATACAGCAATTTCATAAAAATATATTATACTTTTTTTAATATATTATAATTTGTACTATAACTAACTTTTTGTGTCCATTGTAAAAAGTCTAAAAATGTCACAACACTGTTATGGACCATTCTTCAGTTTTTAAAAAATACAAGTAGTTTTTCCATAATTTGGAGGTAAATTGTGACAAACACATTAAAATATTTGCATTACTCATCAAAATCAAAACTGTTTCATTGAGTTTTAAATTTTCCTGAGTTCCTGGGTATTTAAAGAAATCATAGATGCCTTTCATATGACCGGAGGTTGCATAGTTTTCTTTCAATGTCTGCACAAATTGGAATTAGAAACAGAAAAGATGCAAAATTTGCATTACTAATAAGAGAAACTATGTGCTATTTTTAAACCACCTGTAAATGTACCACCTTTAAAAAAAATGCTACTAGTAGCATCTAGCATGTATGCATGAAAGCATCTAGCATGAAACCTGTATTATACGTTACTCAGATTATGTCGGCTCAGCCGGCAACTCCGGATGTTCATTTCAATTCCTTGACCTCCGTCTTTCCTGTTGCATTATTTATTGAAATATTATAATTTACAAATACCAGTCACTCTTTGCTCTGAGCGTTGGAATGGCACGCTGTAATAGGGACAGCAGACTCCAATCCCACAAAGGATGTCATTTGAACTTTTTGTGTTATTAACATTGTACTATGAATCATTACTAATTGGTGGCATTAGCCATATATATCATGAAATCAATTCCCAGGCAAACAAAATGGGAAGTTAGGTAGAAACACAAGTTCAAATACTAATTTCAAACCTTTCATAATATACTTCAAAAATCTAAGAATGATTTTCTCCTTATGTGAATTACAATCGCAAGTCAAATCACAAATTAAGCATTTGACCGAATGTACTTGGAAGCACAATGACAACTTCACTAATGAAATAAACCATATTTTCTCTGCCTTTCTCACAAATCTCCAGTAACACTTAATAAATACATTATGGATCTTGACCAACCTGAATAAAATATTCCTGCACAGGCATATTTCCATCACTAACGGTCCAATTTAAAAACAGTCTTCTGGCACCAACAGCAGTGACAAAATCAATATTCACCAAAGGTTTGGCTGAAAAAAAAAAAAAGTATTCAATGCCAACAGAGAAGAGCATTTTCTCATCTGTTATAGTATCCTTTTACATAGAATACTATGAGAAAGGTTCCAAAATATTGTAATACTATTAAAAGAAAATACTGATCAAAAAATATACATAAGGACAGAATACATTGAACTTTGTACATAAAATAACATAATTGAAAGATTACAAGAAGTTTTTCCATGCTATTTTTACCCCAAGGAAAGCTTCTGTTGGGTCATTTGCTTTACCCACAGCAATGAGAATTTTTTTTAATTAAAAAGTTGATAATAAACAAAAATTTTAAAATCTATATTGATCTAAAACTATTGTTTTGAGATAACTCTTGAATTAAGTAGACTTTACCTTCACTTTACTGATCAATGGTGTAGTTTTGGGAAACACCATTCTAGTAGTAACACCAATTGAAAATTTTAATTTAAAATTGTATTCTTTGAATGTTTTATTTTTTTTAAAAAACATACGTTAATTTTAACAATAATTTTATAAATTTTATTACAATATTCTCAAATTATGTGGTTACCTTCACAATAAAATGCCCTTCATTAAAATTTTTCTTCTTCGTTTTATTCTTAAACTAAATCATTGATATGTTACAGAATCCTGTGTAGCCCTAAAACCTCAAAAACCATTAATGTGGACAGGCAAAACCTTGTTCATCTTCTATTATAAATAATAAAAATTATATTTTCAAAATTAAACTTTAATTATTGAATGATACACAGAATTTGTAATCTTTTAAATTACACAAATATAATGTATTTATATATTTTGTTTTTAATAAATATTATAAACGATTCAATATTTATATTACTAAAAATATTTTTATGTTCAATTAAAAAGGAAGGCAAAGGTAACATCAGCAATATTGCCCACTTGGTGACAAGGGCTACCAACTTCATCTATGCCACTACCGCAGTTGAATCCATGTGAATCCACTTGGAATTTGCAGTGGACAGAGAAAATACACTATTTTGTTTCTTCTGCCTCTTATTGTATCAATGATTAACCTCATTATTTATTAACTCAAGTATGTGTCATTAATTCAAGTACAGAGAATCATAAATCAACATATTAATTAGATATATAAATCTCTTCCACAGCTAATTAAATACTTTCAATCCCTAAAATACTACAGTTAATATTCATAAAAATACCTTATTAATAAGAAAATATTTTTCACCAGAACATACATAAAATAAATTAACAGAATTAGTCTTCCACTTTGAATTTGTGAATATCAATAAACAACATTTAAATATGGAGTGAACATAGTATTTTTTATTGTTCACAATGACCTCAAATATAACTATCACGACATAACACTGAAGGTGAAATCTGCACATACCATCATGAAAATCGTAACTTTTAAGTGGTCGCTAATGCTTTTGGGGAAAAATAATAATGAAGAAAGAACTTTACCTAAAAGAGCATTGACACATGTAAATAGTTCATTAACAAGAAGCAACATTTGGTAAAGTGAAGAAGAAAAAAAATACTGTAAATCAAGTAAAATTTGAAGATCGTCTTCAGAATGCCTGTGTAACTATCTGTAGGTGTGTCTGTATGTACTCACATATTTTGGATCAGTATGCTTCAGTCTGCACAGCATTATGAGCTTTGCAACATCCTTGCAAGTCTCCCTATCATGCAAGTTCCCAGGGTATTGGCATATCCCCATTTTTTTATCCTTTCAATGTGGGCCTACATTAGGTGTGGTAGCATTTCAACAGAGGTGAAGTGAAATGGGCTGTGCATCAGCACCGTACCAGGTAGCCAACTTAGTGCACCACTACAGTGACCCTCCTATCTCCACTCTGCAACCCGCCACCCAGAGAAAAGTATCCAACATGTAGGCATTGGCCTCCCCCCCCCCCCTCCTCTTCCCCTGCAAACCCTAATAGAGGTGTCAAGAACAAAGTTGGAAGGAAACAAAACTTCAGATAAGAGATACTACTTATTTTTATTAGTTAGTTATTATTAATTATTTTTTGTCATTCAATTACTCGGAAAAAGATCATTAATTCTTTTAATTAAAAACCCCGTTTTAACACTTCCTTTCATTTACCTTGCTTTGAACTTTGAAGTTCAAAGTGTGGGTGAATTTCTCTTACCCAATTAATATGATAAAAATTGAAAATTTAAATGTTCACAAACTTCAAACAAACATTGGGATGTATGAATTTACAACAGTCAATGAAACTCAGTGTATGAATGTTACATCAATATCATCAACTTGATAATGAAAAGTTAACACCCCCACTTGACTTCGACACCAATGGGTTTCAGGGAAGTGTGAAAGCAGTAGCAATGTTAATGTATTTTTTTCTATTAATGCACAATAGTTTCTTTCCAATTCATCTAGAGAAAAGGGCAAGCTTAGAAAACTGCTTTCTATAATGAGTTTGGTAGTACAACAGCTCGTATATTCTGACTTTGAGACCCTAACATTTCAATGTAATTCTATCCATGTCTGAATCTGAATGAACTAATTACAATAGGAATGATGATAAAAACAATTTTAATAAAGCTGGAGTATGATCTTAGGGTCGTGGCTCAATAACGTTGAAAACTTCTTTAATTCTTAATATGGAAATTATACAAATAATTTGTAACTTATTTATTTTCAATTGTATATTAAAATGTTCTGCAGTTTGATAATTCTACTTTCTTTCTACCTTTATTAAGTACAAACATGAAGCAAGGCTTTTAACATTTATTAAAACATTTTTAATATACCAAGAAAAATACATACCTCTAACCAATAACACAACATCAGCTCCAATTTCCCCTTCACTGCCAATTGCAGTACATCGATATGTTCCATTATCTTTTCTACTAACAGAATCAAATTCTAACACTGAAGTGATAAAAGTATCATTCAGTAGTTTATTTTCTATAGTTGCCCTGCAACAATATTTTTTTTATTACAAACAGTAAATCATAAAAGAATTTATACAGATTATTTAATTGTAACAACCCTAAATATTAACACTCTCAGTCATCAGTCTTTAAAAGCACTTTAATTCCAGAATCCTAGCCATTTTAAGGCATTTTGGGGAATTATCAAGTGGTAAATTAAGAGTTAGGTGTATGAAATTCATGACAAAAACTTTGAAACTTATTTAACCAAGAGAAAAAATATTGATTTGGGATATTTAATAAAACTTACACACTATTCATTTCAATACAACCCTTTTATATTGTCCTAAAAAGTTTCTATATACTAAATATAATATTGAAACATCATTTTTGCATAAACGCGTAAGCTTCCTTGGTTAGAGTCAATAAATACTTGGCTTGGGATATAGATAGGAGTTAGAACTTCCAGGGTGATAGGAAATATGGATAGGAGGAAGAGGTATATTCGGACTTTGTCCGCTGAGATTAAAGCGATAGCCTGAGTCACATTCGGGCATACGACTGAAAGTGTTATGAACCTTACATAATAACATTAACAACAAACTCAGATCATTTCTTAGTTTCTCAATTGTAAAACTTACAAATCACTCAATGATCCATCTTCGCCTTTTGACCATTTAATATCATTTAGTGGATAACCAGTGAAATTACATGCTAGGGTAGCTGGATCATCAATGTCGACACTTCCATTTTGTACTTCAGTAACAGCAGCATGAACTACATAAAAACATAGTACAGGAGAAAAAAATGCTATAAAAACTGTCATGTGTTATTAAACAGTGTAACCCTTTTATGCTGGACAATTTTCTTTAAAATCTCTCCCATTTAGAGAGGTGTTCAGTAATATATAGTATATAATCGTGTCAGATATATAAGTCAAAAAAGTAGAGGAGTCTGATATAAAAGGATTCCGCAGAAATTGCATCAACTCACCCACAATATTTAAATATACCATTCTAAAAATTTCTTCATCAATATTGTTGCCAAATGCTGCATGACATGAGTAATTTCCAACATCATAAATAGAAACAGATGAAATGACAAGTTTTAAAATTTCAAATTCACTTTCTGGAGTAAAGTCAGGAATAAGGTCCAAAGAATGCCTGTAAAACATAAATGTCATGAATCCCAAAGAAAAAAGAAATATATTCTTACTAACTGGACATCATACCTTTCATCTTCAGTGACATTATCACCATCCAGTGTCCACCACAGTATCAAATTATCTAATTCTGGAACTTTACAAAGTAAAGTCACATTATCACCAAGATTATAATCAGATGATATTTCAACTATCATAGATAATTTCTCAAGATCTGAAAATTAATAAAAAAAATTATTAAAATTGAACATTACCAGCCGTCCATTATTAAAAGAAAACCATTCTTTCAACAAGTTATGACATTCTCAAAGAGATCATTAGTGTTTACTCGAAAATACACAAACCACCACCATGATCACCTACCACAGTTTTTCTCATTTTAGCCTACGTACTTCTCGTTGCAGAACAAAAGTCTCTTCAAGTGAATTCTTAACTTTTCATGAAAAAAACACCTGTAAGTTTCCCTGATGCTAATCTGACTTCAAGAAGATGTCAGAAGTCTGTGTAAGATATTAATTTGTGAAATGATAAAAGAAACAATGAAGGATGAACTGTCGAATAAATATTTGTCTGAAATTGATGGGGAAAATAGTGACTAATAGTTCTCATAAAATCTGACCTACATAACAAACAGTTCAAATCCCTTCATTCTTTCCTAACTTAAAAGACAATGGGTACTTGAGTAGGGAGCGCACCAAAAATTGTTAAATAAATTTAGTATAAGTCGCACAAAAACCTTTTCACATTATTATGAACAAGTACTTAGTTTTTATGTTAATTTCAGACTCAGATTTTTAAAACAGTTCAAATTTCGTTAAAAAAATAGTGTTATGGCAAAAATACATGTAACCTCACTGTTTTGCATCATCTCATTCTACACTTGCTAATAAAATCTAGAACTGAAAGTGATATTTTATATAATGCAATTGTAATTAAATATAACTGTACAACTAATCAACTGTAATTTTACAAGCCCATGTCCCAAAACCAGATCCAAATCATGGGCATTTCAGATATGCTTTTCATTAAATCCTTGGTTCTTTTCAGTCTTAAAACTTCGAACTTTGCAAATTTACTACGCTGCTTGCAAATTCACTACGCTGGTTCATATTTTCAAGCATTGTTAAATGCATGTCCTGAGACCAGAAAGTAGTCATTCAGTCGAGAAAACTCTAAATTATTGCAATGAATGATTAAAAATGTATAAGCAAACATCTATCAAAACACTTTTCATGTGATTTTCTATGAACACCAGAAATACTTAATTATGACACAAAAATATTTCTTCCAGCTTATAAGCTTTTTTCATTTCATAAAACTTTATATTGCAACTAATATGGTATAGAAACAAACAAACAACTTGCTAGCTGTTTGAAAACTTTAGTCTAAATCACTCCACAGGCTGTGAAACAAGAATACCATCAGGCATGTCCAACTCGGATTCAGTAATGTGTCGAACTGAAACACGCCAATGAATAATTTAGAACTATGCCTAGTAAAGCAATAAAATTATAATACTTCTATTTACTTCCCAATCATTACAAATAGTTTAATCTAATTTCTGTTGTTAATTCTGACAGTATATTACTTTCTTACTAAAATGTTACCCGATTTGACATGTGAAAGAAATTAACGTTTGTAATCAAGTGACATGATAATATAATTAACACTCCAAAGAAACAACTGAACTGTCATAACTCCCAGATTCAAAATTTCTATAAAATGATAATGAAGTAGAATTCTTTGTGTCAAAACGAGGTGTTCAGAGATAAGTCACATTTGTTAAAATAGTCTTACATTAAAAACATTTCCTCCAAGAACATGTTGGAGCTAAAGACATTACACACTCAAGGTTACTCAATTGTTGTACAAAGCATTTAATTCCAATTCTTACATTATTGACCCCCTGTCATCCTATCCTAATGCCAAAATATGAAACTAGCAAACTGACACAAAACACTTTGAAACATTGCTACGTGTACTCATTTGTATTCAAAATACTCACTATTAGCTTGGAGAGGTATTGAAACCCACACATAACAGCATAAAATTACAAAACATATTCGACAACCATGGGCTTGGCTTCCCATCATGGCGTCTAACCGGCTACCTATTGTAGTAATATTCCAGGTTATATTTTGTTGACAGACATTCTCACGACTTCAGAACTAGTCACAGATGGGAAGTACATTTCAACCAACTGTCCACATTTTAATAAATAATCCTAATATTTCAGTCTGTTCGTAAAACACCAATCTATCCTACCAATATGACAACCAGCAATTCTTTAGATAACATAGCCTTCTAAATCGCCCGGGGGTTGTGGCCTGCCGGTTGTTTACAAAATGTCCTTTGACACACAGGTTGCCAACAGCCTGCGAATGTACATTTTCCTGTGCAAAATTAATTTGAAATTGTTTCAAAGAGAGTATTTATGGAAAATAAAAGGTTACGCCTTTGCGAAGCACGGTACTCGGTACAGTAGGCATTCTCACAAATGGGAGCAGGCCAAGGACGGTGAGAATCTAAAGACTACCACGACCTTCTGTCATCCCAATATTTTGGATTCCAATCTATTTCTAATTTGCATTTGCGAACAGTCCCTTGTCGTTTTCGTCCATTATTGTGGAAAATACAAGCATTACAAAGTATCGGGAAGTAACTCGGTCACTAATTATGTAGCGCACACACTTCATAATTATTTTGTAGTTCACGCCCATAATTATTTGGGGTTTCCTATTTTAATCTTATTCTTAAATATGGTACTAAATTGATAGGGTGTATCAGCCTGGATGTGTTCTCTAAAATTAACCATAAACATTTTATTTCAAAACATCTGGTATCACATTACAAAACATCTGGTATTAAAGTTAATTATATCTACTTGATAATTGTAATACCAAAATTTCGGTTTAAAGAAATGGCAAAAGGCCAGGCTCTCCCATTATCTATCGTTCATAGCAAACTCTTCCTCATGCCTTCATTCAATTTTTCACGCAAGTTTATTCAAATTTAAAGAAATAGTTTCGTGTGAAGGATGCGTAAAACTTGTGTATCGCTTTGCTTCTACTAAGATTGCACAGACGGTAACATTGAGATTCTAAGTATGAGGCCATTTCTGTCTTGGCCATGGTGGTGGTTATTTCCACCGTTTCCACCATGGTCCACCGTTTCCACCATGGCCTCTAAGCACGCACTCGGTCAGCTCGTAGCCGGAAGATAGTTCAATTCTTGCCTCTGTGTACCGTACCCACGGTGACCTTACCACGATAGATAAGTTCGCGTGATCATTCAGAGTGACTTTAGAGAGTATTCACTGGAGTAAGAAAATAGTGAACTTTTTAAAATATATTCTCGAATTTCCAGGGCTGTGTGAAAAAACATTAGCTTAATTTGTAGTTTGTTAGGGATTCTCTTGTTAAGAACATATTGTGATAGACGTGAAATTTTAAGATGTAAACGATTTATTCCAAAATGACCGTTGCTACCAAAGACGTCGATAATTTCAGTGTTTACGATAAAATAATGAAGGACGGTTTTACGGAAGGGGATATTGCATGAGCCCCCCCCCTATAAAAAAATTACCTAATTTTAGCTTCTTCCGAAATGTTTAGCACGAAACGTGAGGACTTAGAAAATTACTGAATGGAGTAGATTTGTATTACGAAAAAATATAGGACAAAGTTTATCCGCAGTAGAGATGTCACCTCTTCGGGTTTGACCCATTTTCAATGCGAGCGACAGTTTTCAGAAACTTCTCAAAATGTAGACAGGATTTTGTCGAGTCCCGTAAACAATGTCTACGTTGAGTGCGTTTTTTCAATTAGGGAAAATGCTTAGTGAGATCTGAGGAATAGAATGCGAGTGGAATTTGATAAGGTATAACTTTTCACAAAATTGAATTGAACTTAGATATGACATGTGCCGAGTTTTATGTTTCATTAATGGCCAAAAACAGAACAACTTACTGAAGAAACCAATTTATAATGAAAAGTATATAAGGTGCAAAGACCACAGTAAATACATTTATTTAAATTTTTTTGTAAAATATTTCAAATGAGATTGTTAGTTTTGTTAAAAACAAAATGTTAGATTGGAATTTGTTTATTTAGAAGAATGCATTTTTGTTACACTGATAAATAAATATATCTAGTCGATTTTTCAAACTTCCGCTTCTACTTACTACCTCTATGCGCTTAATATCACCCCTCCTCCCAGTTGATGCGTAATATAAATTCTGAGGGTGAGAAACTTTAGCGAGGTAGTCACTCAAAATCGGTAGAGTATTTTATTTTGTAACTAAACACATACCTGTTTATCACTGTAATGACTATACCCCCTTTGGAAGGTAAGCTTCAGCTACGGGATTGGTCTGACAAATAAAATTTGATATGACTATTCCACTCGTGAAATTAAAACCAATAGTGTTTAACTATACATACAAAATGCCCCAATCAGGGCGGTGTATCTAAAAGAGTTTGTCACTATCTATCCGATTTTTCGTACACTTCTACCTACTGGACAATCATAAACTGTAGCGGTATACTATATCGATCGTTGTGTCGCATGTGATTTTAACATAGTTTTCAGTAATTTTCCATATTTGGATCATTTTGGAACTCTGCTGGACAAAATTTTTAATCGTGCAATAGTCCTATTAAATAGTACTCGTGCTTTGTAAATTCTCACATAAATCACCTCCTCACTTTGCGAGTCGGAATTATCGACACTTTCCTAAGTACTCGTGGTATTACCTATGATAAACAAGCTATAGATGTTTGGCATTTTATTTACTTTTTTATGTAGTATTTTAGGCTGGTTTTAGATCTGAAAAATCGACAAAAATTAATTTTCATAGAACACCATCCTTCCCCCTCCCCCACCACACACACGTTTTTTGTAATTCTTCATGCAACGCCACATAATATTTTCGTCTTTGAAAATAGTTATATTTAAAGCAATACTTTGAAACATTTTCGATATCGCAATACTAATATTTCATTTGCTTCTTTTTATATTCAGTTTAAGGCGATATAATGGAGTCTAGAGGTTGCATTAATTCACAAGATCTTTTTCGCTAGGTGTACGGCTATTTAACAGATAAATCCCATCGGAGGACTTTTACGCCGTTTCTGAAGAAAGCATATTAACTATATTTTTGATTCAAAAGGTTGATACTAGTAAATCGTGGGCACTATAGTTCATCTCTTTAGCACAGTGGCGACTCGTGCCTATTCGCACGTTCGCATGTGCACACCCAAATTAATTCGGTGCATTTTCTCTTAAATATCTCTAAACCAGAGGGGTATATAAGTCATCTCAGAGCGTTTCCGAAACATAAAATTTCAAAACACACGCCGTTCGGAAGCAGCGATTGA